TAAGCTCCCGGCCGATGAATAAAGCCCTTCCTCTTATAACCAGGGTGTTTGGGTGCTCTTTCTCTCCGTTGGGCCTCGTCTTCCTGCAACACCATGAGGAAAATAGCAGCATACAAATGGATTAAATGTTTTTCTAAGGGAAGAGACAACGTCACTGACGAAGAGAGGTCAAGGTCGCCGGTAATGAGAACTGATGAAAACATCACAAAGTTGTGTCGAATTGTGCATCAGAATCATCAGCTGACTGTGAGAAGCACAGCAGACCACAGCAAGTAAGCATCTATAGAGAAACAGGAAAATCTTCACTGAAAATCTTGGCCAACAACTCACAGCTCTTGTATCATGACAATGCATCAGCTAACACGGCACTGTCTGTGAGGGACCTGTTAGCCAGTAAACAAATCACTGTATTGGAATACACTTCCTGCTCACCTGATTTGGGCCCCAGTGACTTTACTCTTTTCCCAAGATAAAGGAAATATTGAAAGAAAGACATTTGGATGACAATCAGAACATCAAGTGTAAGACAATGACAGCTTTCATAGCCGTTCCAGAAGAAGAATCCCAAAATTGCTTTGAAGGGTGGACAAGGCCCAAGGGGAAACTTCCAAGGCAACCTTGGTGATATTCAGCAATGATGTGTGTAGGACCTTTTCTAGGATGAGTTCCATGAACTTGTCAGCTACACATACTTTTTTTCATAAGCTTACTGGATTTGGGGGGGGTGTCCTAAAGACTGTGAGTAATTAGAATTTTATAGCTCTTTATAATTACAAAGGATTCATCATCATGTCACGCAATCCTCCCAAGGACACGAGGTTCACCTCCATTTAAGAGAATGAGGGGTTTGGCACTTAGGGAAGCAGTGTGCCCCCGGACCTGCCCTTGAACTCAGAGCTAAGAGAGTAGGAATGTCATGGTCCTCCAGCCTTCCTAGCCAAAGACTATTGTAGAAGAGAATTTGGAGTGGAAGCCTGAGAAATAACACTAACAAAAACAGTGATTCCAAGTACTTTCCACGTGAAATTTCATGCTCACAAGTCTACTTTACAGGCAGCTGAGGTGCAGAGAGGGCATCTTACTTGCTGAGGATACAGCAGAATTCATGTGAACCCTGATTCAGACACGGATGTCCTGGCTGGGCCCCAGAGTTTGCTGTTCTGCCAGAGCTGAGAGGTTGGGCGCAGGGGATGCACCAATAGGGGACACTGAGTCAGTATGAGGTGTAGACAGACAGACATGCCCAGAGGATGTCAGTGCTACCCTGTGGCAGCCCAGCCTGGCTCCAGCTCAAGGACAGAAAGATGTGGCTTCTGACCAGACGCTGCTCCCAGCCCCGATGGAGAGTCCAGCATGATATGATCTGTGCATGGCCAGGCATCTCTGCTGTGCACAGAGCTCAGTCCTGAGTCTCTGCTCCTCCTCCCTCTCTTCTTGGGGCTGAGACACCCGGCCACTGCCAACAAGGATGGGTGTGTGTGGGACGCCTGGAAGCCCCTTTCTCCTCTCTCTTCCAGCTTCTTGACTTACCCTTGTTCTTTAATACTCAGCTCAGATTCCACCTGCTCCCGGAAGTTTTGGACTTGTAGGCTGGGTGACAAGTCCACTTCTGGTCTTCTCGGAGAATCTGTGCTTGCCCAGCCCCACTGCTCTCTCTCTGTCTCTCTGTCTCTCTGTCTCTCTCTTTCTGCCTTGTACCTATCAGCTCCTTCTGGGATTGGACCCCAGTAAAGCTATTTCCTTGTCCCTGGTGTCTGCCAACCTGGTACAGGGAACGTCATTTCTTCCTCAAGGACATACTTGCTGATGGCCACCAACCTGGATGGATCATCATGTCTCTGGGAGCAGAGTAGGAGCCCACATTTTGCAGACCTGGTCCAAATCCCAGCTCCCCCACCCCTGTCTGCACAGGTGGACCTTGGATACAGGTGCTCATCTCCCTGAACCTCATTGCAGCCCCTGATGGGGTTAAAGTGAGGCCATCTGGACTGAGTGCCCAGCACAGACCCTGGGATGCCTGAGAGCTCAATGAATGTCCCCCATTAGTGTTGTCATGGTCATGTTTCCTCCAACTACAAGAGGGCCACTCCAGGGTCTCTGTCTTCTCTCTGCACTCCAGTGCCACAGGAAACCCTTGGGGACCCCTCAGTGGGTAACTCTGGACTATCCTCCCAGTGGGAGTGGGACAACATCCAAGCTCAAATTGAAAGCCCTCCGAGCCCAGAGCCCTCAATGGAATTTTCCAAGTGGCCTTTATTTAATAAAAGCAAAAGATGGTTTTTATGTAATAAAATATAACCTTAAGCCCATAAGAATCAGTAATGAATATACGTGCAAGAAAGTTGGAGCTATTTATAATGAAGCGTCGACTGGCAATTTTGCCAAGAGAAGCATCTGGTTTGGAGGCTACTTTGTCAAGATGGGGAGAGGCTGGACAGTGTAAGCAAGTCCATGGACTGTGGGGCTTCCAAGCCCTGGCTTCAGGTTCTGCACATCAGTTGGGCACATTGAGCAGCTGGGCAGTTATGTGACCTCTGGCATTTGCCGACAGCTTACTCTGTGCCAGCCTTGGGCAAAATGTTCCATGTTCCTGGTGATGCCTTTAGTACTTGTATCCACTCTGTGAAATGAGTATTCCCACTTTACCAGTGAAAAAACTGAGGTTCAGAGAAGAGAAATCACATGCTCAAAGCCACACAGGTGGCAAGTTGCCAAGGCTGGGTTGGAACCACGTGTGTGATTGCTGCCTCCAAGACTTTGCAGGCTTGCCAACCCCTCAGAATCTCACTGTGTTCTTCCACAGGTTGGAAAAATATTCAACAAGTCATTTTGTCAAATATTTACAAAGTATGTTTCCCACCTCTTTGTAAAATTTTGTACATAAAAGTACATTTAGCTACAATTTCCCATTTTCCTTGTGTATGGTAACTTTATCAGTGACTTTTGGGGACACCCTGTGTGTGTGCGGGGGGGTTTCACATCAGACTACTGTGTATAAGGATAAGGCCTGAAGCAAATTCATGGTACCCATAGGGCCTGGAGAATGTCCACCAGTGAGAATGATGCTTCTTTCTCTGAGCCTCAGTTTCCACATTTCTTAAAACAAGAGTCCCTGGGAAGACTACGTGGCACAAAGCAGGTGCCCTTGCAAGTTCCTCCTCTGTCTTCTCTGTGCCTCACCTTGGCCGAGGGTCTGCACTGAGCCATCCATCTCTCTCCCTGGCCATCTTCCTTCCACCTGCCCCTGACTCAGGCTGTTGTCTAGAGATGTACTAGGGAACAGGAGAGGCTGGGATGAAGGGTCTGGCAGTTGGCACTGTGTAGTCAGCTGCTCTGGGATCTAGGGCCTCCGTCTCTTCCCAGGTGAGTCACTTGGGCTGAGTAATAGCTGTTCTCAACTTCTGCTTCTTCCTCTGTAGGATGGGCATCGGGTCACTAGATGTTATTTCTGGCTCTGAGTCCACTCAACCCTCTGTTTCTTAGACCCGGATCCAACTGCCGCCTCCTTTTTTTGTTCTGCAGGTATTTCCGGCTGTGCACAGGAGCTGACTGGTCGAGGACTCGCGGTGGAGAGCTTCCAACGCCATCACGAGGAACGGTGAGGAACTCACATGCTCTGAACTCCAAAGGGGACTGGTGACCTCTGAGAGAGTGGGCACAGGAGGATGCCAGCAGCTTGTCCTCTGGGTTTTAGGAGCACAGTTGGCACAATGTTCACAGCACCATGCATCGCATCTCTCCTTAACTGCACTTAGCATTGTTGCAGTATTCCCATTATTCAAGGAACTTTTTCATAAATAATTAATTGTCTCCTCCACTACACTGTAGAGAAGAGAGGGCCTCAAAGAGGCAGAAAACTCAGTCGTCAAAAGGGTAGACTTAAAGCTTGGATTTGAATCACAGTTCAGTCTTTTCCTGAACTGTGTGACGGTGGGTGAGTGACTTGGGCTTTCTGGGCTGCAGTTTCCTGATTTGTGAGATGGAGTTTGTAACTAACCTACTCCATTGGGTTGTGGTGAAGATTAAGAGTTTATACATGGGATGCCCTTAGAATAGTACCTGGCACATAGGAGGTGTTTGAGAGGTGTTTGTTAAATAGAATAGCAAAGCAGGACGTGGTCAAATCATAAAAACAGCCTCGCTCAGAATCAGGGACGACACTGTTGGCTTCACTAGTGTTGGTCAAACTCTTGAAGCCAGTTCTAATCAAAGTTTCCCTAATGGCTCTGTCTTCCTTTGTAGAGAATGGAGGATGAAGATTACAACACCTCTGCCATCTATGATAATGACTACTATGATGACTTTGACTCCTTAGTGATTTCGGAAGACTTGCCTCCCCTGGAGGACAAGGTGGTCAGGATCTTCCTGGTGGCGGTCTACAGCCTCATCTGTTTCCTGGGGATCCTAGGCAATGGTCTGGTGATTGTCATTGCCACCTTCAAGATGAAGAAGACAGTGAACACTGTCTGGTTCCTCAACCTGGCCGTGGCAGATTTCCTGTTCAACATCTTCTTCCCGATCCACATCACCTATGCTGCCATGAATTACCACTGGGTTTTTGGGACAGCCATGTGCAAGATCAGCAACTTCCTGATCACCCAAAACATGTACACAAGTGTCTTCCTGCTGACTGTCATCAGCTTCGACCGCTGTGTCTCTGTGCTTCTCCCAGTCTGGTCCCAGAACCACCGCAGTGTTCGGCTGGCTCACACAGCCTGCGTGGTTATCTGGGTCCTGTCCTTCCTCTTGAGTTCACCGTCCCTCGTGTTCCGGGACACAGTCAATGTGCATGGGAAAATACTCTGTTTCAACAACTTCAGCCTGGCCTCCGTCAATTCTTCCTCAACATCTGTTCACCCCCGACAGGACTCTGTGGGGTATAGCCGGCATGTGGTGGTGACTGTCACCCGCTTCCTCTGTGGCTTCCTGGTCCCAGTCCTCATCATCACAGCCTGCTACCTCGCCATTGTCTGCAAGCTGCAGCGCAACCGCCTGGCCAAGTCCAAGAAGCCTTTCAAGATCATTGTGACCATCATCATCACCTTCTTCCTCTGCTGGTGCCCCTACCACACTCTCTACCTCCTGGAGCTCCACCACATCGCCATGCCTGGCTCTGTCTTCAGCCTGGGCCTGCCCCTGGCCACAGCCATTGCCATTGCTAACAGCTGCATGAACCCCATTCTGTATGTCTTCATGGGTCAGGACTTCAAGAAGTTCAAGGTGGCCCTCATCTCTCGCCTGGTCAGTGCCCTGAGTGAGGACACGGGCCCTTCTTCTTACCCCAGCCATAGAAGCTTTACCAAGATGTCATCAATAAATGAGAGGAGTTCCACGAATGAGAAGGAAACCATCATGTTTTGAGTGTCCCCCAGTGGACACTCCCAGCCCAGGGACATGTCTTCTGAAGACCAAGGATGGCACCTACTGACGTCCTCTTTAGCACCAACTGATGTCCTCTGAAGTTTGCATGGGGATGGACAGAGTTTTGAATTGTAAGTCCAGGTTCTAGAACCCTTTTCTCCAACAGAGACATCCATGTTGCTCCCAGCCTTGAACTAGCAATCTAAGCTTCTTGGAAGTCCAACCTTGACCCATTGAAAGCAAAAAAAAAGAAGAATTCTTGGAAGAACTGCTGTGAACTGAGGCTGGCATGAAGCAGCAGGATTAAGCTACTTACTGTGCAGGGCACAGAAATGATGCAAACATTTTATAAGGCCCATTCCTGGTGGGTGCAGGGGAGGTCAGAACAAACCTATGTGATGCAGATCACATCTGGCCCTCACATGCCTATGTCAAAGCCAGCCAGGAAACCCTCCCTCCCCACTCAAGCCACTCCTCTGGATTGAGGCATGTGGAAATGCACAGGTGACCTGAGAAAGGAAGGCAACGTAGCAGCAAATCAACTCCCAAGACCACAGATTTGGCTTTCAGACCAGCGGGGAAGACAGACAACAGGTCCCGAGGGACCGTGTGGGCTCCTTGCAAGGGCTGGAAAAGTGGGGGTGCAGTGAGAACTTGGGACCCTAGGGAAGGAAGGACAGAGAAGAACAAAGAGCCTTCCAAGGATGAGGGCATAGAGTAGCTCACCTAGAACTTCACAGGGTAATGGTGCTTTCAGCTGGAGCTATTTGGGGCTATGGGCTGTGCCAGCTCCTGCTCTCCCCTTGCCTTTATTACCTGGGGGTGCTGCAGGCTCCACCAGCAGCTCCCAGCCCATCACAGGGATTCTTCCCTCTTTCTTTAATCCACTCAGCTCTGGTTGGAGGTGCTTAGAATAAAACACTGGGTTCCAGGGCAAGGGGTGGGGTGGGAGTGGGACTTCTCATCAATTCCCTCCAAGCCTTGCTGGAGACTGGTCCAAAATGTGGCTTCAGGAAGCAACTCTGGAGCATCTATCTCCTGGGAAGAAGAGTGTGTCTAAGAACTCAGTCCCTGAACTCAAAGCAGGGTCTGGAGCCCGCATCCTGAGATGCAGCCCCCCAGTTGCCTCTTACGCGTAACCGCGCT